AAGTATTTCTTGGTGTAAAATCATACCATGAATTGAATATGCATGGATATAATATGTTCAAATCTATATACATCACCCCTCTCTTTTAAATTACTTATTTGATAATGCTGAAGTTTAAACACAGGGTCTTGTACTTGTTAGGCAGTTTATCACTTGCACCATTCCTCTCTCAGTCTTTTTTGCTTTAGTATATTTTTCAAATAAGGTCATGTACTTTTGCCTGGGCCTAGCCGTGGATTTTGATCTTCCTACCTATTCCTCTCAGGCCTTGGGATGACAGGCAAGTATTACCATGCCTGGTCAGTGTAGGTCACAATTCTTCTGTTTGTAAAGATGCAACTAAAAGTTAAGCATTAAATTGATGAATATGAAGTTAATTTTTGTTTACTCAGAATTTGTCTATAATGTAGAACATATTGTATTTCACATTTTCCTTATAATAAAATGCAATACAATATTTCCTCCCTACTATTCAAATTATATTCACTCAACTATATTGCTACAACTAAAGAAAATTATAAATTGTCGATAATTTTTGACACTTTCTGTATCTAGTATTTTATGTATGACCATGAGATATGAGTATTTCAGTACTAACTGCTTCTGTATGCTCATGATAGGTGAAAATACAGACATTTAGCAAATATTTTCTGAATGAATAAATTGATGGATGATTATCATTGATTTTGACACTTAAGAATCTATCTCACCGGAAGTTTTAGATAAGCTAAAGTAGTTATATAAAAATACTGTCATCATTCAGGCTAGTTATAGCTATGTAAATCTTCAAGTATTCTCATTTAAAATATCTTAATATTTTCAAGGAATGATGAACATCTTGCCACATGTGCTATGCATCCACTAGGATAGCTGAAATTAGTAGAATTAATAGGGGATTCTTGGTAATTGACTAAATTGACTAAATTAGATTGAGGAAAGTGTATGACTCTCTTTATTTATGCTGATTGGCATCCCTCCATTTAAAGGAACAGATTTATGGCAAAATTGCTTGTAAAATCCATGTATTAAAGAAAATAAAAGAATACTCAGTAGACATTTTATCTTAGATAATGAGTATCTTGACGTGAGCATATCTTTAACAATAATACAAGTGTCATTATTCCCATCATTATATTCTTACTACCCATATTTTATAATGTTTCATTATTATTCTGTCGATTAGCAGTGTTATTTTAAGCACTCAAATTAATTGAATCCATTGGATTCAGACTCAGATGCAATATAAGTTTTCATTTGCTGAGGAGATCACATTTATCCAGAAGCTGTACTGTGAACCTGTGGACTTTAGAGCAATTAATAACAAAGTCAGTTCTTGGAGGTTTTTATACAAAAGTCAAATCAATATAATTTCAAGTAATTACAGATATGTTATAATTCATTTATTTTCAGTTTTCTAAGACTTAGAAAACAGAGAGAAAAGTTATTTAAGTACAAGCAACATATTGGGGTAACTGTGAACACCAATGATTTTTAACTTAAGAAACCTTGAATGGGATTAGGATATTTGACTTCTCAATACTATTTGAATTCCATGTTGAAAACAAACTTTACAACAACTTTGGCAGTTGGGTGGTGGGGGTTAGTTGTGGAGGTGGGAGGGAAGGGATGTTAGGGGAAAAACAAAGGAGGACAGTATGTTGAAAAAGAACTTTACAACTTTGGAAGCAGGGAAAGGGGTGGAGGTGATGAGGAGGTAGGGAAGGAAGGAATGGTAGGAGAGTGTAACAATGCTTGATATGAAACGTACTAATTACCTTGCTCATGTAATGGTAACCCCTCTGTACAGTATTTTTACAATAAAAAATGTACAAAAAAAAGAAATAAAAGTGGAGCTCAAAACTACCCACAGGCTCTTATTTCCTACCTTTGGGGAGATGTCAAAAAGTCTGGCTGCGTCTCTAAAGATGTTGCTCAGTTTGAAGAAGTTATAAAAGAGGAGAACTTCCCCCTCACTAACCCAGGATAGCTTTTGTTGTTCTGTGAGAGGAAGACATTGAGGAGGCCCATTTAAGGTGAGATGGCAGACAGAGAAATACCAAGGTCCAAATGGAATGAGGAAGTGATTCAGGTCTGGGAAGTGGGCCAGATGAAACACAGATATGAAAACCAGGAGCCATTCCCACATGTGAAATTAAACCTTGGTGCAAGAAAGACAGTCAAGAAATTAATTCCCAGAGAATGGCAAACCAAAAGTAGTGTAACCAAAGGCAAAACCCCCACTCCTAGCCCTGTTTGTGTGAAGCTCCACCCCTTTGACTGACCAGCTACCTGCCTGCTGTGTCTCTCTTGACTATTGTCCTAATAAACTTTATTTCTCCTAAAAACATATGTTTTAAAACTAGGAAGCCACCCAAAATACTAGCTACTGGTGAATTGCTAGAAATAATGGCAAAAACATGATTGTTTTAAAACCTCTGCCTATTAAGGAACTATTTTAAACATGATATACTATAGTAATTCTCAAAACAGCACTGCTCAGACAACATTAAATTCTGATTGCCTTTTGATCCTAGAATTTATGCCAAGTTATATAATACAAGGAAAATATGCTAAGATTTTTTTTAAAGCTGTGAACTTTATTTGAGACATCTAATTTTAATTTTAAACCATTTTTTCCAATTGAAAATGGGAGAGTTCCAACTATATTTTAATGGAAAAAATGATAATGAATGAACTCACACTAATGACTCTTATGTATGCCTGTATCATCCAGGAGACTGTTGTTTTACAGAAGAATTTTTATATATCCTTCATGGTACAGCATTGTAGTTTTCTGAAGTTGAATTTATGGCAAATTGAGAGATCAAAACAATTTTCTTGACTTGTTCCTTTTACTGAATTAATTTTTCTAAATGCTTCTAGACATACTGCTAGTATGATTCACACATTTCATTTTAATAGACAAAAGAAATGGTTATTGAATTGTCATGTAATTCTTTATAAAGTTGTTTTAAGTTGACTGTGCCTTAAAAGTTAGACTAAGCTAAAATGTTGATTATTGCTTCAGAAGGCCTTTCTGCCCTTTGAAAGATCCTTTGTGGAATATTTTCTGAAGATTCAAAAAGAAATATGTTAAAAGTAATTTTTCTTCTAGTGTTAGCAATAACTGTACATTCAATCAACATGGCAAACTACTTGATACTTTTAATAAGAACCATAATTTTCAAGTGTAATTAATTATGTTTTTTACTCAGAGATTGTATATAAATTCAGGCTTGTCACTCTGTTAAAAATTTAAGAACTCTTAAAACTTGTTATTTACATATCTGTTCTTTCTCTACTATACTAATTTAATTCTCTTTATTTTACACTATTAAAGCAAAGGGAATCTTAATAGGCTTACAATATTTTCATGTATCTTATAATATACTATGAACGTTTCCCTGATGGTAATATCCAAGAATAAGATAACAACCAAAAATAAAACAAAACAAAACAGAAACCCAGAAAATCTCATCTAAGAATATGTGGAGATTTTACTCTAAAAAACAACAATAACAATTTATTTGTTTTATACTTCACAATAGCATCATTGTCTCAGAATGTAGTGATAATTGTAACACTCATTAGAGAAATCAGCATGGTTATAGACATATGAATTGGTGATGAAATTGAGCAGCATTATTGTTGGGACAGGAGCCATTGGAATGTAAGTGTTGGCTTTCCATTTCTCTCGTGAATTGATTATTCCATTATCTACAAACCTTATTTTACCTTGGAATAGGTCAACTGATAAGTACCATCAGTGATAACTACAGAATTGATTCATTTTCATAACAGACAACCACATTGATTTTTGGTTCTTTTTTTTTTTTTTAAGAGAGCAGAAGTGTACTCCTTACCTTATTATGTAACTATAACCCCCTATTACAGCATCTTTACAATAAAATAAATTTTAAAAAAAGAACAGGCAGATGGATACTATGTAGTAGCTTGACCCACACTTGCTGACAGGGCAACTACTGGTAATACCAGTATTTTGAACTATTTGGAGTGAGAGGGTAACCGTGTAATGAAAGTAATGGTAAGTCTTTTGTTCTAAAAAAGTCAGTAACATCTTTAAAATAATACAAGAGACCAAGCTAACATACTGAAAACACCATATCATTGAATTTCTCCAATTATGTATATGTAAATGACTGGTTCATAGCTGTTCTTCAAAGCAGATTCAGCAAGGATTTTTCTTTTTTCTTTTTAATTTTTTTATTGTGAAAATACCATACAGAGGGGTTACAATTACATGGGCAAGGTAATGAGTACATTTCTTATCAAGCATTGTTGCCTCCTCCTTTGTTTCCCCTTACTATCACTGCCATCTCATCTCCCCTGCATCGCCCCCCCCCCCCTCCCGCCACCTCCAAAGTTGTAAAGTTCGTTTTTCTACATAATGTCTTGTACATCTCATTGTTGCAATGGGTCCACCTGTATCCCTAGTCAAACAATTTGTTTTTTCCCTTCCCCTCCACAAACTATACCAACATCAAATACAATGCAAACAGGGGTTATACCGTGGGGGACGGACATACAAAAGAGTAGGGATTTTTCTGTGGAAACCTCTTTAGTGTTGGTTATCTTAGGTACTTTAAAGCAAGTTCATTGAATTAAATAAATGTCTCAATTTTATCATATTTTAGGAGAAATGCATGTCTTCCCTATTTCCTCAATTAGTACATATTCGTGAGATTTTGCTGTACATTTAATTCCAGGTACCTGTAAAGAAGTAATTAATGTACGTTAGGCAGCAATTGATTTTGCGTTTTATTTGGCTTAACTTTTCTAGTTAAGTCCTGATATTTAATTTGTAGGGAAACCTCTAAGCAGTTCTATATTTTTATGTTTATTCTCTTCTCTGAATTAATAAAATAAACACATATATTGATTTCAGAATGAGCTTTATTAATGTAGTTAATATACCTTACTAATGTTATTTCATGTATTTGGATTAATACCATAATTATGATTCAACGTTTTTTTTTCAGTTTCAAAAAGTGCAGAAGCTTCAGAAGAAAAGAAGGCTGTGCCTATAAAGAAGAAAATGAAAGAATTGAGGATTCTGGATACCAAAACAGCCCAGAATCTATGTATGTAAAATGTTCTGCATTTACTATTTCTCATAGTGATAATGTTGTTAGTGGCTGTTGAATGCAAGTTAAAAGTGTGTAACTTATTTCCACAGTGATATTATGAGTCTTCTAGCAACAATATTCTGTAAATATGTTTTGAGTTACGTTTTGTTACAGGCATTTTGGCAAAATTATAATTTCAGCTTTGGTCAGTTTAGATGGATAAAACTTTTGAAAAATACTGTTACTAATGAAACATACAGCAGAGTTGAATGAAAAATGTTAAGTTTTTCCCTTCTGACTAGAGTACTCCCTAGTCAACCTCTGCAAGTCTTTTCATTGCTATTTTGTTATGTTTGAAGTGATTGTGATGCAATCAGAGAAATTAACTGCGACAAATTAAAACTGGTTACTGAACTAGTCATCCATTAATTATGACTTTTCTAAAATAGCTGAATAGTTAATCTGACCTTCTATATCTATGGTGTACTTTGACATATTTTCCCCTATGCATTAAATTTAGAAGTTTATGACAATAGAGTAGACTGCAAAGATTTTAAGGACACCAAAACATGATACATGAGAAACTTCAAAACATCAAGTATTTCTAATTGTACAAGTACCATGAAAGATTTTTTTTGTAATGGAGTGTGCTATAGAGAATCAGATTCAAAAATCTCATCAATTTCCTTTCACTAGGAATGTAGTCAAAGACAGGTTCTGGTCATCCCTATATTCCTAGCTACTCAGGAGGCTAAGATCCAAGGATCATAGTTCAAAGCCAGCATAGTCAGGAAACTCCATGGGACTCTTACTTATAATTAACCACCAATAAATAAATAAATAAACAGCAATGGAGCTTATGTGCTAACCTTTGAACATAAAAGGTCATGGACAGCACACAGGCTGAGAGCTCAAGCCCTAGCACTGGCAGCTGCAATCCCTTTCCCCCCACAAAAAAAGAAGAATTAAATATAATACCTTTAGTGAATTTGTACATTGCTTACCTGATAATACATTTTCTTTATAAAGTTAAGGATCATGATTTTTTCCACTGAAAACACAATATGATCTTTATTGCTGGTTTATATCTGTCAACATAATTTGATGTGGAGATCTTTGATTTTTCTATCTAGGTAATTCTTTCTTCATTGTTGAGGGTTCATTTTTCTTTTGGTACCAGTGAAATCATGCAGATATTTTCATGGAAATATAATTCACTTCTAATATCTTCAAGAAAAGAGCATATGTATATTCTTTAAATAAAGTATATTTAATGGGAAATTAATATGGGATAGTTTGTTGATAAATACTTCCTAAGTACATGTGAGCTATTCTAAGTATAATTTGTTCAATTATTCCACAATGTCATAAAATATACCTGATTAAATGTTGACAGGAAATATTGATTTAGTATATACCAAAAAACTATACATAATAGGACATCATATGAGTGTCAGCAGTAATGCAGAGCACACTAATGATTCAGACACTTAGGATTTGTCATATTTCTGTAAGTTGGTATTCTATAAAATAAGAACCAGATATTTATTAGGACTTAATTTTTGATCCTGCTCTATTTTTAGTATGATCACCCTTTTTTTTTAAAGCAATTTTCCTGGGATCATATCGTATGCCATATGAAGACATAAAAAACATTATTCTGGAGGTTAATGAAGACATGCTGAGTGAGGCTTTAATTCAGGTAAGTTGGATAACTTTTTAAATTATTTTCTCAGCTATTTTTAAATTGCTATTTTCTCATTGGGGTTGATAGAAAATACTCTTCAATATTTGGATAATAGAATCTGCAATGATTACTTTTATTTTTTTAATAAGATGACTCAATATCTGGGTTCTAATTCTTTTTCTTTCTCATTAATAAGCTAATATTCTTTAAAATATAAGTAGATGTATCAGTCCCTGTCATTCACTGTATGTGAAAGTACATTTATTTTATCATCAAAATGCACCATTAGGTAGCTATTGCTATTACCTTATTATTAGTGTAAAAGCTAAGTGGTCAAAAGTTAAAAAGCTCATTCAAGATTTTTTTTTCTTGGTCTAGGAGCTTGAACTTAGGGCCTGGATACTGTCCTTGAGGTTTTTGCTTAAGGCTTATCCTATACACTTTGGGCTACAGCTCTACTTCTGGCTTTTAGGTGTTTAATTTGAGAGAGAGTCCCAGACATTTTCCTGCTGGTGCTAGATTCGAGCTATGATCCTCAATTCTCAGCCTTCTAAATAGCAGGATTTTAGACCTGAACCAGCAGTGCCTAGATTACACTAAGCTGTGTTATGTGCTTAATTTATGCTGGGGATTGTGTTAAACACTATTTGTATTATATAAATTTTTTAATGAATTCTATAGTAATCAGCGTAAGATAAGCACTAATATATCTAATACATTTTCTTTTTTTTGTTATTTGCTTGTGTGTTTGGTCTGTCATGGGATTTGAACTGGGGTCCTGGGTGCTGTCCCTGAGCTCCTTTTTCCCAAGTCTAGTGGTCTACCACTTTGAGCCACAGCACCACCTCTGGTTATCTGGTGGTTGATTGGATATAAGAATCTCATGGAAAGGGCAAGGGGAAAAAACAAATCGTTTAGATAGGGATACAGGTGGACCCATTGCAACAATGAGATGTACAAGTCGTTATGTCGAAAAATGAACTTTACAACTTTGGTACGGGGGTGGGGGTGGGGGTGGGGGGACGGGGGGGGGGGGATGGGAAGGGATGGGAAGGGGAAACAAAGGAGGGGGCTACAATGCTTGATAAGAAATGTACTCATTATCTTGCCCATGTAATTGTAACCCCTCTGTACAGTATTTTCACAATTAAAAAAAAAAAAGAATCTCATGGACTTTGCAGTCAGTCCAGGCTGCCTTTGAATGTGATCCTCAGATCTTAGGCTTCTGAGTAGCTAGGATTACAGGCATGAGCCACCAACAGTCAGCATATATATATATATATATATATATATATATATATATATATATATATATATATATATATTACACAAAAAGAACTGAGGCTTAGAGATTTTTCCAGGGTCCCCTAGCTTATAAGTTGTACAGTACAGACTGGAATTCAAAACAAGAACTATCATGACTCAATCCATTATATTTTTTGTTCCCCTCTTCTTATAGTGTTTTGCTCATCAAAGTTACATTATTGTTAATACTGTACCAGTTCTTTGTAGAATTCATTTTCTCTATCTATCTATCTATCTATCTATCTATCTATCTATCTATCTATCTATCTATCTATCTATCTATCTATCTATCTATCTATCTATCTATCTACCTATCTATCTATCTCTATCCATCCATCCATTTGTACTTATATATATGTGCATATTTGGTACCTACCCACACAAGGCGGGTCTATATGCGCGCGCACACACACACACAGACACACAGACACACACACACACACACACACACACACAGGTAGATAGATATGTGTTTGTGTATCATCATATAAAACTCTGTGTCTGTCTCTTTCTTGTTTAAATTTTTTAATATAGAACTCCAAATTAATTGAAGGACATATTATTATTTTGTTTTGCTATTGTTAATGTTGTATTTGTTTTTCTTTTCTGAGATAATGTCTACTGATTTCTTCTATATAACCAAATTATGGTAAGATTTTGAAGAATTGATCCATGTTGGCATTATTTTGTCCGTTATATCCCTATAGTTTTTCCTTGATGCCTTGGTAAATAAAATCAAATTTGAATATGCCGAGTGGTTCTATGATATTTACTTCTCTGTAACAATTTAAGAAACATTTCTTATTTTTAAAGGTATATTTTCATCTCTTCAGGGAATACTTTAACTGAGATTTGTATTTATTGAATACATCATAAACTGCCATTTGTTAAGGTGTATGTATTGAAACATTACCTGGGATTTTTTTGTACTTCACTTTATTTTTATGGCATAGACAAGGTCTATTGACTTCTTTTTAAATTGGGAAGCCTGGTGCAGTTCGGAGGAATGAATTACTTCAAGTTTGAATAAGCCAGTAATTATGTATAAATTCTTGACAGTATTGGTTTAATATCAAAAGTTTTACCATGAAAACAGCTACAATTAAATCATATTATCCTAAAATTTAGATTATAGTACAGTATGGTGATTGTGTTCTAATAATACTAATCAGCAGATTCTGTGTGTCTTTTCTACTTATAGTGTATGTATTGATATACTCCTGTCTCATTCCTTCCTATTTTCTAGACTTCCATTCATATTGTTAAATCTTTATCCTTTTTTTCTTTTTCCTATGAGTGTATGCATATATAGGATTTTTGTTATTGTTGTTGTGGTCATTGTCATTATGTTTTTGCTCACTTTTTTGGTATCTTTGGGCTTGAACTTAGCATTTGGACGTTGTGCCTAAGCATTTTGTGCTCACAGATAGTGAACCACAACTCCACATCTGGCTTTTGGTATTTAGTTGGAGATAAGGCTCTCAGGGACTTTGCTGTGTGGGCTGATTTTGAATCATGATCCTCAGATCATAGCCTCTTGAATAGCTAGGATTACAGGCCTGAGTCATTAGCAACTAGCTTTGCCCCATTAATTTTTGTGCCTTCTGTTTTTCCCATGTTTTCTACATGATCTGACTATTTTAAAAGTCAACCTGCTTTCCTTTGTAGTGCCAGATACTCTAAAAGCTTTTCTCATTCGTTACTCTATTCAATCAAAACTTATTTTTGTAATCTGCTTATAAGAAAACAAAACACTTTAATATGTAATATAATCTATATAATTACAATAGGGTCACTTGGGTATGAGTCATAAATTATAAGTCAATGAGTTATTAAAGTTGACAGTGAATATTTAGACACGTCAAGTGTCTCTGGTCTCTTGGTCAAGGAAAATGCCCCTTCACTGTAAACTATTGTATGATTTTTTCATCCCCTAAAGAAGACTGCTTTGCTCATGTAAGAGAAAAGACTATAATCACAAGCATTTCTTTCACCCTCTTATACCAGTAATGTTTGCTTCATTGAGGCAAAAGTAACATCTATTTGCCATTCATATGAGCTGTTTACCATTTGTGTCTAATTACCATGTAGCACATCGATAATGCATTGCATTAAATATGTATCATCAGATTAACTTTGTTGTAAGTTGTGCTTGATTACAGTGCTAAACTCCATCCATGCATAATCATAGTTTATTTTTCATGTAACATGGTTGTCTTCTCATGATAAAAACAACAAAAAACAATGAAGTATACATTAGTTTCTAGGGATTGAATTAACACCAGTATTATTTCCTTGATTATGTGCCAATATATTCTTCCTTACAAGACAATGAATAGATTTTAGTTACTTGAATGGATAAATGCCTTACTAAAAAAAATAAATAAAACTACTTTTATTTAATCAACGAGATGAAGCTCAAATGTTATGGTTATTAATAAAAGTACTAATATCTCTGTTTTTTGAAGTGGTCAAATTTAATATAGAAGCTGAGTGTCACTAAGTGGAAGAAACTGAAATGTCCTAAAATTCTTAAGCAACACATACAAACATTTAAAAGTACAGTGTATCTGAGGTTGTTGAGGAGCTTTTAATATATGCAATTATGAGTTACTTCCAAATAATGTGTACTCAATTTAGGTGATTGTTAGAATCATTTTTCCAGCTTTGAAAAGCTGCTTGTGTGTAATTTACCTTGATTTCTATAAAACTAGTGAATTCTAAGATAGCATTATGATAAAAATAATTTGAAAAAAATTTTACATATAAAAGTTGACAAAGAAATGAAATTAGTAGTTACAAAAGAGTGATTCAGAGGTAAATCATCTTTTTTGAGATATTTAGTGTATTGGAATGGTTAGTAAGTACAGAAAAAATATTTTGGTAGGGAATGTATGTTCAGACTTCTGAGGCATGTGTGAAAAATACATGATCCACATAGCATGTAGAGTATCATTATTGCAGAACCACTTTTATAGATGTTATAGAAAAGAGTTGATAGCTATGTGTTCAAAGTCCCATTCTTGAATATATAAAAAATAACATCTTTATTTTAATTTACACCTAATTAGTATTTAGTATTTCACTTAAAGTTATAAGCAGCAGACTAAAGTAGTATTAATCATACTTCTAAATCTGACACTAATAGAAATAATAGATATTTTCATATCATATTCTGTTTCTGGCAGATTTCTTGACACATTGTTTATACTCAATACTACTTCAGAAGTAAAGTACTTATTAGGTCTCGCACTAGATCTTACTCTTTTAATTCTTTAATCAAGAAGCAAATGTATTATTGTATCATGGTTTATTTTTGTAAATATATTGATAACTGTTTTAATGTAATTAGTTTCCTTCTTACCTTATGTATTTTATTCTATTTCAAGAAGGGATGTGAAAGACAAAGTGCTTTCTGGCACTAAAAGGAGCCTTAGTTCAGATTGGGCTCTTCCTTAAGTGGGCTTTCTAGAACAAACTTGAAGTGGGCTTTGAAGTTTTATTAGGATTAGGAAACTGATAGGGTGGACAAGACTTGCAGTATATAAAGATTAATATCTTTATTATTCTTAGTAAGTTCAGTTATGTGGAGAGGTTATGAGAAGAATATAAATGATGATGAGTATATTGGTCAAGATCATAGTGTAGAGACAAAGTGATCACAACCTAGTGACTTATTGACAGTCTCTTTTTCTCTCAAATGCACTTTA